TCCCCCCTACTTATACGTTAGGTTTAAGGAATGTTTAGGTATAACACTTAATTGATAAGTAAACTATTATACCTAATATACATACTAAATGTTGGAGAGTCAAAATGATACTTTCAAAACTATACTTTTGAACGTGAAAATGTACTATTTTATGGAGTCAAAACCTGTGGACTCACCAACTTTATGTTGACGTATTTTAAAATGCATGTGTTTTTAGGAACTTGAAAAGCTGGTATGTATTCGAACAGAAGAAGTTTTACTATTACCTTTCCGTTCATTAAGAAGTATGCCATAGTCGGATATTATGTAATAGGTCCTAGAAAAACAGTTATGTAACTTTCAGTTATCAATAAAGGTATGTATTTTCTTTAGTACTGTTCAATGTATGTTATATAACTGTGATACGAAGAATGACGTTACACCACCCGGTGTTTCCGCCGATGGCTGGGGGTGTGACAGTTTACTTCCGGAGTATTAAGTTACTCAAATTACCAATCGTTTGTAGATTTTTCATGGGGATTGAGCATTGTATATGGATTGTTGCAATATTCATGGGTACTTAGAAAATGGAGATTTTGAGTATTAGTTAAACCCGCACTTAGAGATTACTTCATGGATTTTATCATGAGTAATTCAAAGCGATAATATCTTCTATTCTTGAAACAGAGATATATAAGTCGTAGTTTATGAATATGTTGTACATTGGTTTGCATCAACACATCCATAATTGCAAATCATAAAGTGTATTTTCATGTATAATGTGACAAGTGAAATGTATGATTATATAATCTAAGTTTATCCGTCCCTTTTGCCTATTTAGGAAAAGCGATATCTCTAGGCCTCTCGGTGATTTGATGTTGACATTATAGTGATGGGCCCAACCGGGACTAAATTGACGTGTTCGAATAGTAGTCTGATGACATCATCATAAATCGGGAAATCGAGAAACAGAATATTGGACCATGACATTGATTATAATCCATGTATCGTGTCCACAAGATATCATGAGAATGAAGGAATTGTTAATCACTTATCTTAGGGCTGACATCTGACTTGATAGAAGTTTGGCAATGGCTTGGAATACACTCTTTACTAGTTATTCAAAGAGTTATGCCTGCATTTGTAGTTGACGACTTATCTAAGTGGGAGACTGTTGGATTAGGGTGTATAAGGTTTTAACTATATTGGTATAATTGATTGAATAATAATAAAGTCCTTTTTGGGTTGCCCTCATAACTGGGAAAATGACATGGATTGAGCATAAGAGAGAAATAATTAATTGTTCATTCTTATTATTGAGATGATATATTAGTTATAGAATGAAATTATCATTTAGAATTACTCATAATTAATTTAATTAATAGTGCTGGATTAACTAGAATTAATTATTGAGTCTAAGGGGTAGAATGTAATTGTTTAATATTTGAGCAATGAGGCAATCTAGAACCTCCCTGCTAGGGACGGTTTAAGGGAGCCTCCTGGAAGGGTTCCAAAAGTTTTCTTGGTCACCAAGGAAACTAATAAGGAAATAAGAAATATTTTATTAATATTTTGGATTCAAATCAGGGATTCCTATAAATATAAATAGGGACCTCCATAAGACTCAAAGAACACTACAACTTTACATGGAATTTCGAAATTCTCCTCCCTCTCTCTCTATTTTCGATCCTAGGGTTTTTCCTAGGGTTTGGGTGTGATTCAATAGAGGCTTCCACGCTATTGGGGCTAGCATTCTAAGTCTTCAAAGTATATTGTTATTTTCGAAAATAACATAAATGTATGTTTAAAAAAAACCTTTTGATTTTCGATTTTAGCTAGGTTATTTAGTATTTTCAAAGTATGTTGCTATTATGAGAAAAGCCATAGAATTGTTTCTAGGATTGCATGTGCACATAATTACTTATGTGAAACTCTGCAAGTACATAAAAGTAATCTAGAAAACCTATCTTAATATTTCTGATATGACTTTTGAAGATTAGGTGTCATGGTTGCAATCATAATGCAAGCAACCTTAGTGACATCGTCAACATGTTGTTTGTGCTCATCAAGTTCCTCACGAGTAGCAGCTGCTTCATTAATTTCTGGAACATTGGTATCGAGAACAGACTCCTTGTTCTTATAACGAAGTGTCATCTTCAAATTTCGCATCCAGTCCATATAGTTTGGACTAGTAAGCTTGTCTTTTGAGAGAATAAACAAAAGAGTGAAGTTTGAGTTATGTGTGGGTGGTGGAGGAGGAAGAAGAACATCACCATTTCCAAACATCTAAATAAGAGATAAGATTTTAGTTAGTTGATTATTACTTAATATTTTAACAGAAAATCTCCAGAAAAGACCTAATAATTTGAGAAATGTTTTAATAAAGTCCTAAACAAAATTGAATAGAAAAGTCCCAACTATTTAACTTTTTGAATACAAAAGCCCAAAAAAAACAACTAATTTTTCATTTTAGCCCTTTTGACATGTTCAGCAGGTCATGAGACCAAATTGTTAATTTTTGCAAAATATTAGGACTTTTCTGTAGATTTTGTCAAAATTTGTATAGAATATATAAACATATTTTTTTACATATATATATATATATATACGTATTTTTTTGATGTATTTTAAATGTATAAATGTATTTTTTATGGTCTTTATATGTATTTTAAGTATTTCACATAATTTTTATTTATTCTTATGTGTTATTTTTTATGTATTACATATTTTATGTATTTTTACATATTTATGTGTTTTTTAAGTTTTTTATATAGATGTTTATGTATTAATATGTATTTTAAATGTACAAACGTATTTTTTTTTTTGCATATTTATATGTATTTTTAAGTATTTTACATATTTTTATGTGTTTTTTATGTATTACGTATTTATATGCGTTTTTATGTATTTATGTATTTTCTTAAAGCTTTTTTATATATTTGTTTAAGTATTTTTATGTATTTTAAATGTATAACAGTATTATTTTTACGTATTTATGTATTATTTTACTTTAAGTCGTCTTCACCATCTAATCAAATTCCTACAGCTTCTTCGATTATGTGTAGATAGTTTTCCTACATATCCATATTTTTTAACCTTTTCCAATTCGCTTATCTTGAAATGATACATCGAATTAAAAAAGAAAATAATAATTTATGCACATACGAAAACTTATAAGCGAAAAGCTTTTTGATGTTTAATTCGAAAACTTATAAATTATTATTTTATCTTTTTCTTCGATATTTAATTTCAAGATATAAAAATAGGAAAGCTTAAATTATGTGGGTATGTAGGAAAATCATCTCGACATATTCGAAGAAGCTGTGAGAATTAGATGAAATGGTGAAGACGACTTTAAGTAAAAAAATACATAAATACGTAAAAATAGTACGGTCATACATTTTAAATACATAAACACATATATAACATAAATATGTAAAATTACATATAAATAAGTAATACATGAAAAACACATAAAAATACATAAGAAAATATGTAAAATACTTAAAAATACATATAAATATGTAAAAATATACGTTTATATATTTAAAATACATAAGCATCTATATAAAAAACTTAAAATATATATAAATAAAAATACATATGAATACGTAATATATAAAAAATAACACGTAAAAATACATAAGAAATAAGTAAAACACTTAAAAATACATATAAATACATAAAAAAAATACATTTATACATTTAAAATATATAGAAATGCATAGACATCTATATAAAAAACTATAAAAAAATACATAAATATGTAAAAATAAATATAAATACGTAATACATAAAAAAATAACACATAAAAATAAATAAACTGTAAAATACTTAAAATACATATAAATACGTAAAAAACTAAACTTATACATTTAAAATACATAAATATCTATATAAAAAACTTAAAATATACATAAATACGTAAAATACATATAAATACAAAATATATAGAAGAATAATACATTAAATATACAAAGAATATGTAAAATACTTAAAAATACATATGAATACATAAAAAATACATTTATACATTTAAAATACATAAAAATATGTAAACATATACATATATAAACTTTAAAAAATACTTAAATACATAAAAATACATATTAATACATAAAAAATATGTTTATACATTATATACAAAATTTCACAAAATCTACAGAAAAATTACATTATTTTGCAAAAATTGACGATTTTATCACATGACATGCTTTAGAGGTTAAAAATGTCTAAAATGAATAAATTGACCGGTTTTTTGGGATTTTTTATTCAAAAAGTTAAATAGTCTTGACTTTTCTGTTAAATTTTTTTTTTCAGAACTTTGTTAAAATTTTTCCCAAAATATTGGACTTTTCTGGATATTTTCTCATATTTTAACCAAAATTAATATCTAAGGATAGGAATTAGGATCCACAAATACAATTCTAAATTAAGAAGATAAATCCCGTAATCTAATTGCGAATTTAATTTAGATAGACAAAACACTCTACAAATTTCACACAAATGATTAATGATTTTGGTAAAATTGGGGAATAAAACTACTTAAAAAACTGCAAAATCAAAATGCAATTAGTTAACGTGGTTTGGTCTAATGTTACATATATCCACATAAGAACAAAAAAGAGAGGCAAAGAATTTTATTACACCAAAGAAATTAATCATTCAAGACCTAAACTACGTTAAAATTTGATCAGTCATTGTAAGACATCATTCGTGTTTTGACTACAGAACAAAAGGTTCTTCACAAATGAAACTACCTCACGATTGGTTCACAAGAACATGTAAAATCATTCTTTGTTTTTATCTATGTCGTTTTCTTGTTTCAGCACCCTTTAATAGATATCTATATATCTTTACGTAAGGACATCATTCTTTGATATTCAAAGAAAAAACAAGCCATTTTTTTTGACTTTTGTGACAATCTACCAGTGAATTTGGACGTGAAGTGTCACCAGTACCACCATTAATTTCAAGTATTAGGTTACTAACAGTGACATGCACAAACTAATTTACAGTTATGGTCCTTGAGCTATAAAAAATATGACATATTGTTCATAATTACACCAAACATAACAGCTGTAAGTAAATCACGAGTCAAATTATTTTAACAGTTTTACTTAAAGAAACAACTTGACAGATTACAGGCGGAAAGAGAGAACTAGCTAGAACATCAAAAGAAGCAATTAATACAACATAAGTAAGTCGAAGTATTGAATGCACTCACGAGAATCCATTGACCGTAAATCCACCATCAACAGCAATGGTTTGGCCAGTGATGTAAGAAGCAGCAGGCATGCAAAGGAACGCCACCAGAGATGAAACTTCATTTGCTTCTGCAGCGCGTTTCAGAGGAGTTCTAGATACCACACCTTCCATAAACTCCTCGCTTTCAAGAAGCTGCATATACAAAACAACAAGGGAATTACTGTTGGATTTAATCGGTTGTTTAAGGGTAATTTGGTCCATAATTTTATTTATGCAGAATTTGAATAAGGAAATGTAGGATAAGGTTAATTGACTGATTTTTAATGGGCATGTTGGGTATAAGAATATGGGTCAATCCTTGTACCGGTTCTTTAGGTGGCAGTGGGTTAGTAGATAGCATTTTATTCCTTGTTTTATGTTGCCACGTTTGTTTTATCTGTTGCTAGTTTGTAAGCCTATATATGGCACATCTTTGATTTAATTAAAATACCAAGAAAAGCACCTTCAGTGCATAACGTAAGATCTAAGTGTGTGTAATTGTGTGTGTTTTCTGAGGGGCCTGAACCAACAATTACAACATTATCAATCAGTAAAGATAAAAGGAAAAGATGAAGAAGGCATATTAGTATATTACATGTTCGGCGAGTGGGGTTTTAGTGACCCATGGCGCTACACAATTAGCCCTAATGTTATCTTTACCCCATTCACATGCTAAATTCTTTGCAAGCTGATTCATTGCACCTGTAGACGCAAAACTAACATTACAACCCATCCGTTTTCATCATACATGCATTATATATGGCGCCAAACAAGCATACCTTTGGTGGCACTGTAAATAGACCCAACAGAAACGTGAACAAGACCTGCAACAGATGAAATAAACACAATGTTTCCAGCTCCAGAAGCTTTTAAAAGAGGATGTGAAAGTTGACACATATGGTAACAAGACTCCAAATTGGTAGCCATGATCATGGAATACTCTTCTGGGGTAAACTCTAACGTAGTTTTAAATATATTTGTCCCAACATTGTTGATCTACAGGAGACAAGTCTGTGGAAGTAAGTCTTCATATTCATCTGAAAACAAAAACAAAAAAAGGAAGTAGAGTTTTGGGTAAGATATGGAAGAACTTACTAGGATGTTGAGTTTGCCACCGAAAAGTGCTGTGACTTTTTCCACAAACTGTTCCCGTTGGGGGCGAGAAGATAAGTCGCAGACGGATCCAGTGACCTTAAAGCCTTTGTCGGACCATTCTTGTAAGCGTTGGTTAAGTACAGATTCATTACGTGAGCAGGTGTGCACTTCTGCTCCTAACTCCGCCAGTTCCTCCACCACAGCATAGCCGATCCCAAGTGTACCACCGGTGACGACAGCAGTCATTCCGGCAAGTGACCATCTGGATTTTCCGATTGCACCAGAGAAAGGTGCGGCGGTCGTCATGCTCCAATAAGAATATCTCCTCTCCTATTATTTAATTTTATCCTAACAAAATTAAGAGTGCAAATATGCCACGTGGCAAGTCAGCAGCCCCTCCAAGCTAAGTGATCTTCCAAAAATGCCCTTGCATACTATATAACCTTGGCCTTTAAATCTGTGATGTGCATTTCTTGAAATTTTACTGATTTTTTGCATTTTACCTGTAGAAACATTTAAATGATTAATTCCTTTTAAATAAGGAAAATATAATGCTATTAGTTTAATTCAATTCCTTTCAAAATTTTATTTAAACATTCGAAACAGTTGATCCTTTCTATCTCCAATATCAAAAAATCAGGGATTGAGTTTATACATGAACATTCTTCATTTGTCATTCATCTTCTTCCTCTTTCAATTCCATATATATAAGATATAAGAGACTGGTCAATAGGTTAGCTATATCCTCGTATCACATATTTTTTCCTCTTTATTTTTATTGTTGCCTTAAATTAATAATTTTACATTCCTTTCATGTTTTCTTATATATTTTTTTCGAAACCTTTATATCTTTTCTTGTTTCATCTTATTCTTCCTTTCGAACATTTGGTTTACATAAATTTTCTGTGTTAAATCCATGTTATGTTTAGCATTTACCAACTTTTGCTTGTAATTGCATCAAATAACATTTTATTTTGTTAATGTTCCGTTTTTTTGCAATGTTCTTCATGTTTAATTTCATAACTGTTATCATTTTTTTTGTTGTGTTATTTTTGAAATAAAATTCATCCAGAAGGACCATATGGTCTTTTAAAATTAATTTTTTAATTGACCGATTTATCTCGCTGGATTTTTTTTAGTTCACGGATTTGTTTTAATTTTTTTTTATTTACAAGGCTTATTCATGTTTCTCTAATTGCATACAAATAACATTTTACTTGGTTACTTGTTCCATTCCTTTGGATTTTTTTAAGTCCAAGGACCTGTTTTAACTTTTTTATTTACAAGAATCATGCATGTTATTGTAATTGCATAAAATAGCATTTTATTTTGTTACTGTTCCGTTCTTACTTCATTCTTTATTAGATTACTGTTATACCCTCCTAACTTATCAATTAATGATTTCCAAATTATATTTATAATTTCCTGCAATTTATTTCATGATAGGGTCCTTTATTATAGATTAATTGCATTTATTTACCTGTGACGTCCCAAAAATTAAGACAAAAAAATTTTTGTTTTCAAATTAATAAACCTATCATCCAAAACATCATCATAAGACCATGGAGGAACAAAGTGTATCAACTACATCCTGAAACATCAGAGTAATCATAAAATGCGGAACGAGGTGGTGTGTGCACTGCAATCATCTCAGGCTCTTCCCCTTCGAACCAGAAGTACCTGAAAATATAAATTGAAAACCGTAAGCACAAAGCTTAGTAAGTTCCCCAAAATACCACATACCATACATAATAAACATATCATGGGGCCCGCCCGACTTCAAGTTCGGCTCGGTATACATATCTATCAATCATCGGACCCTGCCCAGTATACATATAAACAGATAAACGCATAACACATGCAATAATCACAAAGATAAATAGCATACAAAATGGTCAACGGACCCTTCCCGATAAGCATACAAGCACATAATACATGCAAGAGTCAAGCAAATATCTAGCGTCCTAAACATAACAAATCATGGGTCGTCATTTGTCCATGGATGTAGATCATATTAGACCGAACCACGTTAAATATCGTGTTCAGTTTTGTTTGCAATTTTTTTAGTAGTTTTACTCCACGAGTGATACCGAAATCGTTAATCATTTTCTCAGAAGTGCTTAACTTATTTTGTTGAATTCCCAACAAACCACAGTAAGATAAAAATGGATTTGAATTTGTTTGGTGGTTATTTTATATCCATTGACTTTTTAAATGTCTAACATGTTTCTGTCCATTAGAAAAAAAAAAGAGCAATCCATGTGAAAAGTATGTCTTCATTTGAATTGTATGAATTTGAATTGGTTGAATTTTTTGCCATGTTGGCAATACATAGAAAAAGAAAAGAGACATGCTTACCTAAGGCTTTATCCTTGTGAATTTAAGTGTTGTACATTATGTTAAGACATTTGTTTAAGAGATGTTTAATTTTATTGTATATCTTGCATAAGAAATTGTATTTAAGACTTGAATATATATATATATATATATATATATATATATATATATATATATATATATATATAGAGAGAGAGAGAAAAAGAAAGAGAGAGAGAGAGAGAAAAAGAAAGAGAGAGATTGGTACATCTTTGTGTTTCAATATTGTGATGGTTTTTATTTGGGCATGTGCAGTTGTGTAGGTGCCATATAGGCTCCTCTATCATGTTTTTTACCCACACCCTAAAGTCATATAAACAATTGGTTGATAAAGGTAAAAACAACATAATGATTATAAATAAATGTAATTATTTATGATGCATTGCAAACAATTATTTTTATACATAATTTGATAGGTCTATTAATCTTCCTGATTAGAACTATTTTATTTTTTTGGTGATTTGAATTAGCACCATTGGATTCTGTCTTGACAATTGTATTAATTAAGTTTGCAAATATACATAAAAAGTTATCGAAAGTTTTATATTAATTGAACAATTAAATTTTGTAATTTCGATCTCTCTGGGAACTTATCGACTATTTTTTACTGATTTTGGCATGAATATCCTAACCAAACTATAATTATGCTGTTTAATTTGGTTTAAGGTTTTTCGGTTTTGGTTGTTTGTTGCACCGTTTATTTATATTTATGTGAATATCGAAATTGGCTAATGTTGGAACTTTATGTATATAAAGGAATGCAAGTTGACAATTTCCTTTGTATCCCACATTGGTAGGGAGAAGAAACTTTTGTGGGTTTATAATCTTATTCCTTTGATAGGCCTTTAAAGGCTTTAGTGAATCAAGGAAAGGGTCAAGCCTGCGAGCGCTTAGCATTAGCCGATGCTGCTAGCGCGCGATTTAGGTGCACTTTGCACGTCGGTGGGAGCTGAAGAGCTTTTATTTTTGACGAGTTCGGGTCAAGCCGGTTTGACCGATCTAGCCGATCTGGTCAAATGGTTGACCGTCGTTGACTTCGTGGAGGACAAGTCGGGATATTCTAGAATGATCAGGAAACAGCTTGCTCTCGAGCAAGCTGTCGCCCTAGGGTTTCTGGGGCCGGCCTATGGGGTCCTGTTTCATGCCTTTTTTGACGAGTTCGGGTCAAGCCGGTTTGACCGATCCAGCCGATCTGGTCAAATGGTTGACCGTCGTTGACTTCGTGGAGGACAAGTCGGGATATTCTAGAAGGATCAGGAAACAGCTTGCTTCGAGAGCAAGCTGTCGCCCTAGGGTTTCTGGGGCCGGCCTATGGGGGCCTGTTTCATGCCTTCTAGGGTTTCAATACCTATAAATACAGCTCCCTAGGAGCCGTATTCACTACTCACGAAAAATCGAAGCTCTCTCCTACTCTCTGCGTTTTTCCTTCTGGTTTCCGAGTATTCGCTTTGTGTTTGTCGATTTCCAGTGCTGTTGGAAGATCGATATATCTGCATTAAATCCTGGGGTTTTACTCTGTTGCTTACAGTCAGTAGAAGCGAAGTAAAACCCTTTAAGGACAGGAGTCCGATCCGTGCAGTTGTTTCAAGTTCAAGATCAACCATCAACAGGTCGGTTTTACTTTTCTGTCTTGCAGTTATTTTCATCCAACAACAGGACATTCTTCTTCTTCCTTTCTTATAATCAGATCTTATCGCGAAGGATCGATCTGGTTTTGGATGAAACTTGGTAAATATATAATAATAATTGGATTTGTTATTCGCAACTAATCAACATATAATTCTCAATATTATTTTTCGGTTTCCTTGCGTGTCTATTAATTAGTTTGATATACAACAGCTACTTGCAGGTGGAAAGTAACATGTATAGATTTAGAGGGCCTGCAAGATATGACCCTTGGCTTCTTATGCCACTTTGATTGCACTCGTGACCAAGACAAGCACAACCTATTATTATTATTTTCATGCATGCAACTTGATAGAAAAATATCTAATAGTTATAAGTATTGTTGTTTTAAATTTATTCTGGGCCAGGACCGAACCAGAAAATATAGAAATTTTATAACCTTTTTTATAATAACTTAATAACTGAAAGAATATTACTTGTATTAGCTTTTAAATATAACATTTTCAATTACAAAAATCAACATATTTATAGAAAAATAATTTTTATAGTTTTTTTATATGCAAAATTATTAATCATATCTTCAAGATCTATTTTTTTCAAACATATCATGAATAAAGTCTATAAAAATTTTGCATCCTTTTAAAAGATATGGGCACTAAGTCACACACGCTCCATTAACGACTCATAAAGAAACGATGTGCGTTTTTATGGATTAACATATAATTTCATATTTTTCCTAAAGTAACTACAGTAATCATATATGAATCTTGTTGAAATTGTTTTATGACTACGGACGCATGATTATTCGCAGTTATATAATTACGGACGCATCGTCTCTAATGCGGATTTGGAGTTCGTAGGTTCTTAAAAATCTTTAGGTTTGCACAATAACTAATATAGAGTCCGGTTCCGGTGATGACTTTTTTTTCGGTAAGAACTCATGAGAACATCTTAAAAATTGAAAAAAAAAATACAAATCATAAAATCGAGCACAATACTATATTGGAGAGAAAAAATTGGAATTTTTTTTGGATAATTAAAATTGAATCATGGATCATAAAAATGAATAATAGATTATAAAAATGATTCATGATTCAATTTTAATGATCAAAAAAATTTTTTAATTTTTTTTCTCTCAAATATAGTATTATGTTCGATGTTATGATTTATATTTTTTATTTTAATTTTTTTTCAATTTTTTAAGGTGTCTTTACTAGTCTTCACCAGAAAAAGAGTACTCACATGATTATATATATATATATATATATATATATAATATATATATATATATATATATATATATTATATATATATATATATATATAACGACTCATTTGAGATTTTAAAAAAAA